GCTGACATTCAAATAATGGAGGTCTATGGTGCCCGAGACAGAAAGGTCCATAAAAGTCCACAAAAAACATTTGAGATATCAAAAAAGTACTCCAGAGTGTTGTTCAGCATGGGGGTGAGTAGAAAATGAAGGCTAATCATGTTTTGGGTGTACTATTCCTTTAAAGCTTGAATATTCCCAGTAGGAAAAAAATGCCTGTAATGCTGCTTGTGCATCAAATTTATGGTTGTGCAAGAAACAGGAATTGCAATTATTAATTGAAAGAAAGACGTTAAATCCTGGCCCTCCAGGTTATTTTCTGTAACTTCTTCAAGTTTTGTGTAGGGAGGGTCAAACATTGATGAGGAAAAAGAAGGCTTAGCTTTTCTCCTATTGATAATGCTCTATCAATTGGAGGCAGGAATCTTCTTCCATCCATGTCTTTGAGGATGATTCTTTGTGAACTGGTGCACCAAAATAGGAAGAGTTGACCCCCAAACTATCCCCACAATGTCTAAAGCATAAAAATGTCCAGCATGTCTTTGTATAACAAAGCATTAAGTGTCATTTTTATAAGGAGCTAATGCTGGAAAAACAGCATCACATAATCCCTTCAGCTCCAAATGTTATTTTTGACACAACCCATTCAGTCAAGTGTTGTTGACCTGGTAAGGGCCAAACCTGGACTAATCCACAAGATAACCGAGGAGGTATTAAGTATAATTTCAAAGAAAGTGTCTCCACTGCTATAGGCTGCAGTAAATGTATGCTTTATAGCACTGGCTTCATTACTTTGCAGTACACAGGCTTGGATGAAGTTGCTTGGCCTTGGAGACTCATTGCATTAGGCTCTATTTGCCCTTATCTTCTGCTAATCTGGAGGTAGCATCAAATTTGGAGCTCAATAGCTAACAAGTCTGCAGAAAGCTGCCGACCTCTCCAGTCCACACTGTGCTCCTTCCCATCTGCTTATTCCACTCTGTGGGTTTAGATGGTCAACCGCTTTGTGGCTGAGTTGCTGTTGTTCCCCATCCCTTCCACTTAGCTGTAATACCACTAACAGCTGGCAGCAGAATAAATAGCAGGAGGATTTTATTATTACAGCAAACAGGGTTCATTTGAGCTACCCATTCTTTCTCCAACATTTGAACTTTTCCTGCATGAAGGTTTGATTTTATACACTTGCAGTTATGCAAATGGCTGGAAGCTCTGATTTAAATTATTTAGAGGGCTGACACAATACTTTTTATAAACCTCTGTCAGTTGTTAAAAGGAATTTTCTAAGACTGCCAACTTTCTAATTTGCTGTAATTTCAAGTACACTGCAGTTAGAAACACACACTGCTAAACTCTGAGGTACCGA